GATATTTGAAACCAGACTGTCAACTCTTAATATTTCACGCGCGAAAAGAGCACCAAATAAAACTTTGTAGACATGAAGCTGGTGCTAGTTTTATTAGCGACATTTCTTCATTCTCTGTTTAATTTGTTCAATGTACAAAACCTTATTGATTTGTACGCATTGTACAACACTCGCCAACGGCAAATGTTGGCTCTTGCCGCTTTAAACCGACGTCCACGGATGCGAAAAATGGGAAAATTTCTGCGAGCCAAAGGGTGAAAACAAGCCATTCCCATACTGAAAATAATCAGGTGAATAGTGCAAATTTGTAAATTGGTATGGGTTGAAATTCTCAATAGGGACCACATAAAACGTGTGTCGAGAAAACCTGTGACTAAAATATTGAACCGATAGCTAGCTGTGCACACGTGTTGTCTTTACAGAATTGCGAAAATCCAAATTTTTGCTAGTATCTCAGATTTGATCGAAGTTGCGACAGAAGAAAAACAAAAATTGATATTTTAAGGCGATAAGACGAGATATGGCCTGCCTCGAGGCAAAAGACAGATGTTATGTCCAATGTAAACACCAAAAGCGTAAGTGCGACCCCTGCCCAAGGTTGATTCCTCGTGCCAAATGCAATTAAGACAAATATGATCGCTTTATTTGACATGCAACAAATGCTTATCATAAGAGTCTGTGGATCTCTTGTAAGTTCAAAATTAAATGCTCACCTTAAGTCGTTTGAAATGGCACCACACTTGAAGCAGAATAGACTTTTCGATGTGCTTCGCTCAGCAGATATTTCTGCTTTCGTAGGCACAATTTATTTGATTAGGTATGCAAAAACATCGCTAATAGCTCACGAAATCACACCTGGCTCGCTCACAGGGTCACGCGTTCAAGAGGGACCTCAGGCTGGCAGGATGGCGACACCAAGTGTTTACCGTCCCTAACGCCTCTAGTTCTCATCCTCAGTATTTCATTTATGAGCGGCGTCCAGTTCCAGTTGTCGTGGTTCGTAAAGTTAGGTGCTTTCCATGTCGATGTTTTGCAGACGGACGAGCGCGAAATGAAGAAAGGCTGAAAGCACACGTTAAATAATATTTTTTCGCCTCGTTCTCGTTTCCTTCGACGATGCAGTTTTCTTAATTAGGATCCCTACTTTTCAGTGGAACAGCGCGTGAAAGTGGACGGACTCGGAGACCACATGCACAGATCACTGCTTGCAATTAATGCCTGTGTGTAAAGGCATATGGCAGTTCGAGGACTGGACTGAACTGGACTGGACTGGACTAATAAAACACGGACTACATTTCGAGAACATATATTTCAACCTACATACCAAATTAACCAGATTGGTCTCAACCTTCACATCTGGAGAACAGATCATTCATATCATCCACGAACAAAAACTCGCATTTGTTTAAAAAAAAACAATACGTTCATAATCTTGATTATTCATGTTCAACTTTCATACGTAATGTAGGCTTTCGTGGGTAAAATGTAGCGTAGTATGTTTATAAAGTCTCGCTTTGTGGCAGACACATTTCAAGCTGACACAGCCAATTATACGAGCGTGGCAACCTTGAATGTTAACATGTGTTCTAACATTCAATGAGAGTTAAAGTCCAGTGTTTACGTGGTGGTTTCGCTTTCGCATGGCTAAAACATTAAAGAAACGCCGCGGTCCAGCACAAAATGTTGATGTAGGAGAAGGCAGTCGAAAAACCGATTAAAATAATTATTACGATCTAGTAAAGCTCCATTTACCAGTAGTGTTTACAATTACAACCACCTACCACCCCTCCCTCAGTACTTGTCGACTGCATCCACCCCTCCCTGAGTACTAAAGGTGTGTCTCCCCCTTATAAAATCGTCTAGAAAATCGTCCAAAAAATCGTCCAAAAAGTCGTCCAAAAAAAACCTCCAAAAAAATAGTCCAGTCCAGTTGATATTTTACCCTATGCCGCTAACAACATTTAGTTTGTGCAAACAAAGTTTTGAATAATGAAAGACGAAAATTGGAAAGTTAATTTTGATACAAACTGACCCCTTCATGCGATCCGAAATTCGAATTGAGTTCGGCTCATGAAAAGTTCGGCGTCTGAACCGGGCCTACGAAACAGTTAAATGATAATAAATGATAAATCTCCGGATCACATTTCTCTTATGCTAATTGAAGGGCTAAAAGAGTTCTTCTTATCAAAAAAAACTAAAGAAAAGGCCACCGTTGACTCAAGCCTGACTCGCAGAGACTACAACAAGGCCTGTACAGGAAATCATACATTGTACAGATACATGCACCTATACCGAAAACACAGGCTTCAACTTGAACATAACATAACTGCTGTAATGGAAAAGAGAGCCACAACGAACCAATAAGAAATCTTCACTACAAATCACAAAAAGATTGTTTAAACTTTTTTATAGTGTGAAGCATTTAAAACCGCAAGTGAATGAAATCTAAAGTCTCTCCAGGTGAAAAAAGCAAAGAAATTGAAACAAATTAAATCTGAGTAAGCAAACTTTTGCAGATGTCCGCAATCGACCAGGATCGGGTTCATGTGCATATCATTTGCTAGTTAAATTAACCCTCATGTAAATAATGCACCATGTCTCAAAGAAAAATATTCGTACCGCGATACATGTATTCGTTTCATAATCTGGTCTCGTAAAATCAAAATTTGAAACGACGTTTAAAGAGCCTTGCGTGGGACGAAATTTTTTTGAGGCTATACTAATACCGAGGGACATTGATAGGAAATATCATTGCGGTCAGAAATCTCTTGAATCCTGAAGCGTTTATTTCCGCATCATTATCTCTGGTCTAAATTAGACATCCAATACTGAAATCATTATTATCGACCTATGACGCATATAGAGGACGGATAAAGCAAATAAAAAGTGTATATAATTACATAAGATATATACATCTTGAGAGAGCAACCTCGTTTTTACTTCCCTTAAGATTTATCCTCTGGTAAGCCGTTTTTTACCTGTCCACGTTATCCGTTTTGAGTTTTCAGCTTTACTGGGTGCGCGAAGATCTTCTGGAAGGCGAGCTCGCTCTGTTATGGTCTCCTGGTTCCGTGCGGCATGTCATCTATGAATTTGACCGTGAAAATGGCCACAGGTCCTTCAGTTCCAACTCAAAAACCATTTCATAGTTATTCGTCATTCTTCCTGGCGCATACAGTCATCGACTTTGTCGTCTCTACGCCAGCAGTTCTTTCAAACGTCATTCTACTTATTACCATCTTCAGGGATTCTCGTCGACAAAAGCAGTTATGCAGGTCACCATTTACACTTCTAGTAATGAACTTAAGTTTGTGTGATTTCATCTCGGGAACTGTTCCCGGATACGGAAGCCTTTACTACGATTATGTCATATTCCATTCCAGAACTGACGAAAAACTTGTGGGAATTCGAGTTATAATAATAACTACTGGCATCATAACAAATGTTGTTGGATCTTGCACAGTGATGGCGATGTCATTTGATCGTTTGTTTGCAATAGAATCACCATTGAGATACAAAATGCAAGTTGACGTCGGCAAAAAGAAAGTTAAAATTTTCATCATAGCAGTTTGGATCTATTCCTTGCTCTTTATAAGTCTTTCACGCATCGGAATCTCTCAAGATATTTCAACTTTGCTCTATTGTCACCTTCATCTATCTCTTCCGTTACTCATTCTTGCTGTGGTTTTCTGGGAAACGTATCGCGCTCTTCGCCTGCACACGAATCAAGTGAGAGCTTTGTCCCCCACAGATAAACCTATGTTCTACACGCTCAGGAAAAGGGAAAGAAAAGTTTTAAACGCAATTATCATCGTTCTGGTCGTATTTTACCTCACATTTACGCCTCAGTTTATAGCTCTAAACGTGATGTTGTTTCGTCCGCGACTAAGCACCCAGGTTGGCTTTCGATCTTTTCTTTACACTGCAAATAAGATTCTTTTGATAAGCAGTGGTATTAATCCTTTTATCTACGCATGGAGAATCCCAAAATACAGAAGAGCCTTCAAGGCAATGTGTGAAAGGGGCAGTGCGTCTAATCAACAAATCAGCAATATTGCTCTTCACACCATTTCATCACGCGATGCACGAACCGCAGATTCTTCGAGTACAACTGAGTTTTGTCAGTGAATTCGTACAACCCGTTTGGCTTATAACCAAATACTAATGAGAAGAACAATTAAGAACAGTTGTGAACATTTATTCAAACACGTCTCGCCAGAATTCCAAAACAACCGATGCTGCAAAGGGTAGTAACTTTCGTCGGGAAAGGCAAGTTTATTGATTCTAAAGTACTACACTTATCGATGTACTTCCACGAGAATTTGCCTGAATAGAATATTCTTGGCTGAAGTAACTACCACTTGTTTTGAACAGTCCAGTTCGTTACAACACGAATCTCTAAAGCACTCCCAAACAGGTCACTCTGATAAAAGCCGTTTGGAACGGATTGAACGACGATTTACGGGAAATTAAGATACGAGGTATTTTAAGAATTTTTTTTTAGAGATTTTTGTGAGAATTGTCGTTCGCGCTATTTTTCACTAAATCCTCAGAATTCTCGATGAAATATGGAGATAAGGGTAAAAATGTAAAACGATCTTGTTTCAAAATTTTAAATACGATGACCTTTCGACTTTCATTGAAAGTCTCTCCTGAGTCTATGACGGTTTCTTCTCTTACTTCAAATACTCAAATATAGAATCAATGAAAAAAATAGTTCATTAAAGACAAAACTACAAAGGTAAAATTAGAGTACTTGCAAGACTGAAGAGTGATATGAAAAGTTTGGTACGAGCGCAGTACGATGTTTCTGAGTGTTCTGCGAAACACGTCTAAATAAAAAGCTTATCTGAAACAAAGTGATTAATTTTGATCTCCATTCTCTCCAAAACAATTGTGTCTTTTCCAAATCGAACTACATTGAGAATTAATTGATCCCTGAATTTAAAAAAAATACAGAAAGACTCTTTTTATGTCCAAATTTTTTTCGTGACTCTGAGTGTTAATGACTTTTTTTAAAAATCATTCGTGTCATTCGCACCATTTTTCATTTGCTTTGAGTTGATAATATATGTAAGTCATCGTATTCAGAATTTTTATCCAAGATTCTTTTGAGTTTTTACAATTTAAGCAATGTTTTGTCCTTATCTGTTGTTAAATCTTTTTTGTAGATAGGTAGGTATTGAGTGACGTTAGAGGTAGATACTGCACGAGTGACTCTAGATTACTTGATTATCTGATTATGACCCGTCAAATGACGTACGTAAATAAACTTAAAAAATTTCAGAATATATGTAAACCAATGTTTGGTAGCAGATTAAACTGCATGTTACTGACCACTCTATGCTTTAATCTAAGTCTTAACACTAAAGCAAAATGTCTAGGCCTGTTTTAAACGGCGTATGAGTATTGTCAACTGATGTTATTTCGCTGAGGATTTTATTGGCCACAGAACGACCAGAAATGCTTTTAAAGCTTGAAGTCCCATACACAATGAAAATGAAATGTTTGGAAAACCTTTAGAAAAAGAGCGATAATGTTGTAAATTCAGTGTGATTAAAGGAAGACATTGGTCACTGAGTGAAGACAAAACTCAGGCAGCGCTATGAGGACAGATTCCCAAAGAACATCGGCTTCCTTTAATTATTGTAAGGTCCTATTTGAACGATCTTCTTAGATTTAGTCATTACTTTGATGTTCAAATCGCATAGCTTAAAAAAAAGCCGCTTCACTTTATTTCGAATCCCCCCTGAGAGATGATACTCATCAAGTGTGCCGTTATCAACTGTTTATTTCTAACGGAATACAACTAACAATTTATGAAACATGTGAAAAAGCTGAAAAAATGGAATGAACTACTCCCTCGAGTTAAACCGTCATGATTTAGTGAATAATCCATTCGGGATGAATGATGAACTCTCGCTGATTATGTAGACAGACATGCTTAGTTAACCTTGGTAGCCTCTCCTGCGTCGGAGCCGCCCGAGTGACCTGGGTCATAGGAACCACGCTGCGCATTGGTGCTCTCCAGTCAGGTGCAATATCGAACTCAGTTCTTTTCTGCGCCACGCAAATAAGGTCCCCACGTCTACGCGCCCTCAGGAGATTGGGATCTCTTTGGTGCCTGCCGTCATCCAAAGAGACTCCTCTTTTGTGCGTTTGGTTGCTCGTGGGACCAGACCTGGTTGTTGACGCATCAAAGGGCTGGCTTGGTTTTTTAAGCGTTGTGGTAGCTTTCTGAGGAGTAGGTTGACTGGCCATGCTCCGAAACAATTTGATGATTGCTTTCTTCTCTATAGCAAAAGGAAAATGAATAAAGTGAATCATAGTGTCAACTTAGCGCACTTCCGAATCATTAAACACGATAAAGGATTTCATTTCACAGCAAACATCTTTAGGCTGCCCCTCTGGTTAAGAATCAACAAAAGCATCGGGATGACCAGCAAAATTTTTAAACTTCTCATGCTGGCAGCATTTCATAATTGTGGTCGATTCTCGAATTCTTGATCATCTTATTTGTTACGTGTACGTGCGAAAAAAGTGACGTAAATTCCATCAGTGCCTTACATGCGTCATCGAATCGTAACACAGAACTGATGAACCCAAGCGCTTTATAAATGCTTCTGAGGCAATTTAGAATACTCGCTCCTCCTTATATGAATTGATAGTTAAAAATTCGTAAGTTAAACAACTTCTGCTCGGAATAATACTATATCTGAAGTTGTTGTCATGATAGCACGAAAAAAGTTCAGAACCCCTTCAGATTATGGATCAAAATCAATAGCTGGGTACAGACCCTTCTAGATATTGATCCCAGCTTGTTTCCTATACGTATGTGTTTGTTGTTGTCTCTTGTGTCAAGTGTGTCTCTACCATTCTTCACTGTTTCCCAATCTAGGCTATTGCGTTAGTTTTTTAGGGGGTCCAAGATGATACAGATGATATCATCACTAATTGCAAATCATTTCTTCACTCAAGTCAGGTCTTAGCCTACGTGTACAATTACTAGAGGATACAAAGCTCTTGGAATGAACAAATAAAGAAACAAACAGAATTCAAATGGCTCGCCTTTCTCATCAGCTTCATTAAGCCACACCCTGACCCGTGGCACCACTTGGGGATAAAAACTTTCCCTTAAAACCTGAAAGAAAAAAAATTATTCCCGGTAGTTGTAGTTTAATTTACTTAAATTAATTGAGACGAAAACGACTTTCTGTTCCCTTCGTTGTCTTGAGAGACGTTAGAGTTCTTCAATTGCGGAGTTGAGCTGTCAGAAGGTATCTAACAATCCAACGCTTTAACAAAATCGAACCGATATGAACAACAGTATCAAAACCCAATTTTTAGTTAACAGCCTCAGAGAACTATCTCACGTTTTTTTTTTTTTTTTTTTTATTGCTGCCATCAAAGCCAGAAAATGGCATGATTTCTAGCTAATGTTTCATTTTCTTGATTCAGTTCTCATTCGATCATTTCACCTTTTCTGTTGCTTGCCTCTCCTCTTCCTTGATCCAAAACGATTTGAGCACCGCAAGTTTTTCTGTCAATCAGACACACAAGGAAGCTACGTTTAGAATCATTATGCTGTCCCTTCGATTCTGTAGGGTGAACTCAAATCGGATGCAAAATACTGATATGAGGGTAAAGGGTCCTTTTGGTAAATAATATCAAATAACATGGCGAACAATGAAATAAAACAGGAAAGGAAGTCCTCTGACATATGAACTCCTGACAGACTGGATGACAAGAAGTGAACGAGGGAAAAGGTCCTTTCTGGCATGATGACGAAAAAATTAATTAAGGGTATAGTGGATTAAAGAACTTTCTTGATAACAGGGCAGTGATGGTTGGTCAAAGTTGACCGTCTTATTCCTAGAAGTGGAAAAAAAAACCTTATGTTATCATTGCATTATCCAGTAAAACGGGGTATAAGAATATAAAAAAAAAACTTATCAGCCAGCCCAGACGGTTACATACCTATATAACATCAAATTCTCTCGAAGGAGAATTCCTGATAATATATTGGGAGTTCAAGATTGAAGTACATAGGACTTACCGTCATACTGCCCAGATCTCAGCCAGTTGAAGGCTTTACGGGCCTTGTTCGGAGTGAAGAGACGAGGCAATATCTGAGGAAATCGTATCAGAAGAGAGAAGTATCAGAAGGGAGAAGGATTGTTCTCTTTTTCGTCCAACTAAAAGTTCGCTCAGATTGCTTAGTTCGCTTAGACAAACGGCTTAAAGGAGAAATAAACTCTTTCGTTTGTGTCCTTGTCCCTTTGACCTATAACTGGCGCAGCTTTCAGTATCATGACCCAAAGCGGAGGCACGAGCGATACTGTTTGGCAACACCAGCCAAGTTGAAATTCCTCGAAACACAACAATACCATACCCAGGTCTCACTAAATGAGCACGCGTCACTCGAGTCTGAAGAGGCCGGCCGAGTTGTCTTAAAACAGAGTTTTAGAATAAATTTTTCATACCTCTTCCTCGATGGTTTTCTGTCTGTAGTTAAAAGAAGGCTTGCTGCAGTAATTCATTGTGAACAACTGTCTCGATCCACGATTTTCTTCCTTGAAAACTGAAAAAAAGCACGAGAACGATATGGTCAAATGTAGACTCTTTGCTAAATTATTTCACCCCTCTTGGAAGTTGCTGGACAAAAATTTGCCTACAGGAACTCCTATGCTACAAGGAAAGAATTCTGTCTACAATGTATTTGAAATAAGAAATAATATTCGAGTCAGTACATATGCCCACTAACAATTTCTATTTACTATCATGCTTATTGTTTGTATTGATATCATCATTTCTTAAGTTTGAACAAGAGAGACATCTAAGAAATTGTATTTTTCTTCTCAATATGGCAAAAGAATTAAGCCAAATTTCCCTCGATCGTTTCATCTCAGTTGCCTAGATACCACCTTGCTTGGCCATAAGTTTTTTCGCTAAAAAATTCTGATGCAGCTGAAATTTTTTTAATGCAGTTTTTACAAAAATCCTTTGATTTTTGAACCATAGGATTTCTGAATATTGGAATATTTGAGGCAGACTTAAAAAACTTTCAAAAAAAAAATTGTTCAATCACCGGAATCTCTCTGTATCTATTTTAGTTCTCTGCGTGAAAAGACTCGAACACAAAGGAAAAAAAAATAGAGCCGAAATTTTAAAAATGTTTGTCGTCAAAGTTTCAGTCTTGTGTGGGAAATTTGACAAAATAACTCTTTGAGTAATCTCTAAAAAATTACTTTAAAGCTACAATATATATAACTCTAGGTTCGTAATATATACACAGATTGCAATTCATACAGTTGATGCTATTCTTTTTACATCACGATAACAATGTCTGTGACTATGGAAATCTTGTTAAACATTTTTTTTACTGAGTATGTAGACAAGTTACCAAAATAATTAACGAAACGAAACTTACGTTTATCTTGAAGTTCAAATGATGGGTATAAACTAAAGTGATCTTTCGAACTGAATTCAATTCCTTTCCCAATTGGTAGCCTTAATGTTTGGGAACTTTGCCCAAATATTAATCTATTCTATTTAGGGCGTTAAGGCAGGATACTAAATGTTTCCTGTGTTGCAATTCAATAGGATAATTTTGTTTTACTTTCTCGTCCACACATATCGCGTTTTAGGTTTGTTTAGTAACCACTAGATAACGAACGGTCTAATTGTTACCGCTAAAAATTCTGTTCCAACGGATAATTTTAAGTTTTACAGAGAGATTACTTACCATCAATTATTAATCGTACAAGAACAGCTAAAAGTTCTTGAGGTTTCGTCGTGCTAATCACTGTTAATGATACGAATTCGTCAGCTGAAAATAGAAGCAAAGCGGGTTTTAAATGCTAAATTTTCCCGAATTTTTTTCTTGATGGTATAACGTTTTCTTCCACTTCTCGTTCTTCTTCTTCGTCTTTTATTATCATTGTTGTTTTTTTTTTTTTACTTAAATTTTATGCTCTTCTATTATTTCTGTTTACATCTTAACTACGGGGGAAGTCTAGGGGCCATACAGGCTTTGGGTATTGTGATGAAATTGAAGAGAATTAAAGAAACTGAAACAATTCAACTTCATATAATAGAAACTTTTAAAACTGCTCATGGTCTTTTGCGCTACCTCCGATATTTGGTCCTCATTGAGATTTTGTGGGAACTTGTTCTGTTTTTGTTGCCGTGCTTTGCTTCTTTCATCTTTAAAGAGCTTTTGATGGACAACAACTATGTAATTTTAGTTATTTTTTCCCGCTTTGTGTGAATTTCGAAATCACTCAAATTCTGTGGTGACAAATTTATCCACATTCAAGTGGATGGCGGCATCGCAGGCCATTGGAAAATTAAAAGGCTTTTAGAATACGGCTCATTTTCATTTTATCAATTATTTATCACTCTCTTTATTGGAACACTGCAATAAACCATTGTGGAAATTAGCTGATTCCAGGACGAAGTGGGACGTACGTCAATTAAAGTCAATTAGACAAACGAATGATTGTTTATGCATCGACTCAAATTCTTGCATGAATTAAAGTGACAAAGCAATGTTGATTATTGTCAGTTTCGCGGTACGGTAGCGCGAGTTGGGAGCCCTAATCAACCGACTCAATATTCTTGCATAAATTAAAGTAACTAAGCAATGTTGATTGTTGTCAGTTTCGCGGTAGCGCGAGCTAGGAGCCCTAATCAATTTTCGTAAAGAGACAATTTTTCCTTGATCGCATCAACGACTACAGAAACCTCTGAAGAGCTAAAAGATAGCAGATCAATTTTAATCCATCTTGACATTACAGTGTGAAGATTTGCTCTTCCGTTTGCACCGTTTCGATTCTCTGACCAACGAAGTAATCTTGGAAGCATCCGCCATTTGATGTTTTTGTAGTGCAATTATGACTCACGTTTTAACAAATCATGGATATCCACACGATCTTCGCTTCCGTTCTAAGTCCGCTGAGATATTTAGAGAACACGAAAGACGAAAGGAGGGTATTCCTAGAACGGAATTAGACAAAATTCGAAGCCTTTCTAGACAATCATGGCAGCGATCATGGGAGAACCCTGGAGATCCGTTGCCCACAGTGAAATGTAATCACTTTGTGACTACCTATTCCACAACACACAATTACAAAGCGCTTCAAGAACCCACTCCCTGCCGACCGACATCGCCAACAAGACGAAATAACCCTCATCCAACTAGGTTTGTCTATCTATTGTCTGTGCGAAGTTCTTAAATTAATATTACTAATTGGAGGCTGTTGTAGGGTAACTTAAAGATCCTTTGTCTGAGATGTTAGCTCATAAAGACCAAGCAGTAACGTGCTTTTAAGTCAGTTGATCATTGAAATAGGAAAAAACTCAGTTTTCAGGCCTTAAAAACAGCATTCATTGTAAAATTATGTGGATTTCGAATAACAAACCCGAGAACAACTTAACAGTAACCCCAATCGGTAATCACAAGATTAGTTCTTAGCAGGGGGGTGGGGAGGTGTACGCTTTGAATTATACCCATGTAAGGACACGTATAGGAGAATAATTTCATTTCACATGGATAATGCATGATAATCATGTTGAGCAGGTCTCAATTACTGTTGATTAGCTTTTGATGTATGTAAGAACATCTTGATGTTAACTTAAAGTTTATTTCTTGCAGGTCATTTTTGCGACTCCACCTGAGACAGGCAAAAGGGTTTCCCAAACCTAAAGAAAAACCAGGACAGGACCCTTGTGATGGTAGGAGAGAATTCTACTTTATGTCATGCTAAAATGTGGACAGTTATAAAATCATTCATTAAGATTATATTGGTCTGGGCTTTGAAGTGTAAAGGCAGTGTAGGCTAGCTTGAGGTGTGACAGGTGTTTTCTCAACCTGTATAGCCCGTCATATTTCTGTGCTGTTCAAACCCTGAAGACAGTCAAGTACCCAGTTGCAAATAACTTGCAGAATGTTGGCTGTCTATTTTGTCCCAAGAGGACAATTTGATTAATTCTATTTGTACTTAGTTGGTTATAAACCTGAGGAACCAAATGATAAACAGCAGACGATGTATTACACTTTATGGGAAATGAAAGACAGAGAAAAAAGAGGCATGGATAAGGTATGCTCACCTTTTATACCCTAATATTGGTATTGATATTCTCCACACTGACCTCTATAAATTTCCTGTGGTAATGGTAAGGAGAATTTGTTTGACATCAGGAACTTCTCAAATAAGTGATTATTTCCATTATTCTTGTGACCTTTACATTTGATTTGAGGGTGATACTGTAGGGTGAAATTAGAATAATAATGTACTCTGCTAATTACTGTCGCAAAGTACAGCAACTATGCAGCTCAACAAGGTCGAACCGAAAGCTTACAATGGTGCCTCCATGTGTGTCATTGGAGCACAGCTTACAGCCAGCTGGAATCAGCTGTATATTGGTTTTTGATGAGGGAGGAAAACTGGAGAACCCAGAGAAAAACCCTCGAAGCAGAGAAGAGAACCAACACAAACTCAACCCACTTAGGTGACGGGTCTGGGAATCGAACCTAGGCCACATTGGTGGGAGGCGAGTGCTCTCACTACTACGCCATCCCTGCTTCCCATAGAAGCCAGTCACTCTTAGGGACTAAAGAGTTAAGACTCTTCCTTGTACCATTGTTAGTGGATGTGACACAAGTGACGAAACTCAACTGACTGCTGTGTAGTATGTTTTTGTCACTTGGATCCAATTGTGTACAACATTTATTAGTCTTTGAATCATTTTGAAACTGGGAACAACTGATAGAAACTTCCCAAAACTGAGTGAATGCCAAGGTGAAAGTGCAAAAACACAAGGCTATATACAGGTGCACTTTAAGGTGGCTCCCTACATAAACTGCAGTATCACTGTTTTCATCTTTGATTTGGACAGCTTTCTTAAACAAGTACCCTTTACTACAGTATTAAACAAGTACTCTATTACTACTGTAATGGAGAGATCTTTAAGGGAAATAAATTATTTCTGTTCCTTGGCACATCAACAGCAGCCGTAATATTTTCTTGTAGTACTATTCTTGTAACAATGTGTAGGCCGTGAGCAGATTCTTTTAATTTAGAAGTTCTGCAGGATGCACATTTCTCTATCCACAAGATTTGAGACAAGTCAAGGAAAGGTTTTGGCTGAGTGTGTCAGTGATGGGCCCCTTGCAGACTTCTTGCTGGCTAACATTGCTCAAGGCCTCATAGATCTACTTTCACATGGCTGAAGGAACATTTTGTGTTGAAGGGCTTATTATGAGGACCTGCTCACTGGCTTAATCTCTTTAACTTCCAAGATCCGATTGTTGAATCTCCCCTCTAGCTACTACACATTTCTTTGTAAATTGGTTGTGAGAATTTGGTGTTCAATCAAGGCATCAACTTCTACCTGATAAGTTTGAGTATTCTCATTAGCTGTTTGCAAATAATATTTCAGGGAGAAGTTACATGTTTTAAATCACTTCTGGGAGTTAAGGGATTAACAATGTTCCTCCATTTCAGGTTTTAAAGGCTACTATGACTCGGAATGCTGTACCAGCAGCACAAGCGTGGGTCAGAAATGCTGGCATGAAAGGTGATGGAGTAATAAATTTCAATAACTTGTTATTGAAACCTACTACATGGCTTGAGTGAAGTTAATTAATATATATCACTGACTTGTTAAATTTGTGGAAACCAACATTATAAAATCAATTAATGATTGAGAAAAAAAAAGTTTAGCTATTGAGTTAGTGTAGATACCCCAGATATGTTTGTTTTCTAATAATGTGGATGATCTCAGCTTACGAGTAGTTGACACATTCCTTACAAAAGGCAAAAACAAGTTAAAATTTATATGTGCCAATACCAGTGAGATGCTGTGTCATCATTAATACTCTACAGGGTAGTGTGTGTGTGCTTTAGGGTCAAGCCAAGTGCACAATTACTTAAGATTAAAATAATACCTGTCCAGTAATATTAATTACAAATTGCATTTTTTTCTTACAGACAGGAAGATAGTATCAAAGATGTTGGATGTTGTGCATGACACACAAAATGTTGATCAGGTAACTAATCCAAATTAATAATGACAAATTCTGTATATTATTGACAAAATATTGTTCTCTGTTAAATTTAGTATGTGACCTTCCATGGTTTACTTGTGTAAATCTTAAGTAAATATAATAAAAGACAGTAGGATGTTGTAATTACTGCTGTTAACCTCCTTTAGCTTAGATACAATTTAAATGACTGACAGTGTAAAGAACTTGATGTTTTCTCTTCTTTATAAAATAGACTATTAGTTCTACATTCAGGCCTGATATTGTACCCGCTGTAAATCGATGGTTAAAGAAAGCTGGAAATGAAGGTACATTTACTTTACACAGTGCTCCAACTTCAACTTTGATTAAGGTTACTAAGGTTACCAATTTCTTGCTTCCCTCGTATCTTCTCTGTTCTTCTTTGTTTCTTGTGATATCTTCTTTGTTCAAATTGACTATATGATTTTTGCTTTTACAACACTCATTTGGAAAGTGTTCTTATGAGCAAGAACTGTATGTTGCTTCCCACTAAACTTACATACATGTATGATTTTTCTTTTGTTCAGAACAACAAGCTGTGATGAGATTGATCCGAACTTTGGCCTCTAATCCGGTTAATGATGGGACAATAGATCCAGAATACACTGGCCAACAACATCCCGACAGATACATCTTGGGAAAATATACTGTACGCCAGTCAGGAAACAAAGGAAAAGGAATTCCCATTACTGTTAAAAATCATTTTCCGAAAAAGTCTCATTTTAAGGCACATCCAGCTTGGCTTCAAGCTTCATGACCAATCTTTTTTGGTGATATAACATAAGTCTTGAAGTCTAATGATGTCAAGGAGGGTTAACTCTGAGACTGTACTAACCATTTACTGAAATACTTAAAGTTGTTTAGTGTATAATTATAATTTCTTGACCCTCTATAACTGTTATGTAAAAACGATCTAGGAAGTTGGAAAAAAAAATAATCTCTTACAATATTCAAACGTAAAATACACTGGGGCATGTAATTTTTTTACTTTTAATCAGMTT